AGTACAACATCTTCTCAAAGGAAGCTTCAATTATCATTTTGATTGTGCAAATCATAGAGCTATCTAACCTTAATTAGGGTTACATATGAGTTAAGTTGCTTGGATTAGATTATAAACATTTGAAGTTGGCATGGCATAAGAAAAGTATCATACATTACACTTAATGAAAAAATAAAAAATTAGCGAATTACTCAAATTTTAATTAATTATGCAGGATTCATGATTATTTTAGTTATGAATAATTCTGAATTAACTGTTAATATTCTTACAACTTTAATTGATGGATAAATTTCAATACAATATATTATCACTTTAGTATTTTTCCCTCTTTCTTTCTAAATTTAAATTAGCAATGCAGTGGTGTCCAATAAATAATATTTTAAAAAAAGGCACATATCCCCTAACATAATGAAATTTAAAAAAATTAACATATTTTTAATATTAAAGTTATACAAAATTATTCTATTTTTCTTTTAATTAAAAAAATTTAGCTTGTGAAAGTTCATGCAATTTACTTTGTTATTATATCTTCTTTATTGTTCGAAAGGCCCCATTTATTTAGTTTTTAGCTATTTTTCATAATTTATATTACTAAAAATTTATATATATACCTCCCAATTCTTATGCATTTACATCTCTAATACCTAAGTTTTAATTTTTACATGTCATATTGTTGAATCTTGATTTGTCCGTGAATCACACCCAATGAATAGAGTGTATGTAAGGAGAGAGATTTAAAATGTTAAATCCTTATTTGTCCCTGAATCGTACTCAAAGAGTGAGCAAAAGCAAAGAGAGAAAGAGAGACGGAAAGAGTAGTGAATGGTAAAATATTGTATTAATCGTATGATATTCATAAAATGATCTCTCTATTTATAGGAGGTAGTATAATATGATAATATTACATTTTAAAACTTGTTTTAAAGGGTTATAAAGGGTATTCTTGGTGTTTTACATGTATGAGATTATCATTTAGTACTCCCTAGGTCAACTGGCTAAGCCAAATTTAGGTTGTCTCGGTAGGTTAAGATTTACTTGACTGGATGCGATCAACTCCTCATCTGAGATTGGTCGGTATGAGTTGGTCGGTTGATATGGTCCAGTTGTCGATCCTTGAGTCATTATGAGGGACCTCTGGATGTCTCTGGGGTGATTAGAGATGCTAAAGAGTAGGTTCTTCCTAGGATTGACTTATTCTTATATTCTTTGATCTTGTTTGGTGTGTCTCATGGTTCAATTGACTTTTGTTTCATTAGATTTAGCTCAGACAACTTCACTTGATCGAAAAGTGAGCCTCACCATTTTTTGTTGGTTGGCTCTCAATTATCATATTTCTTCTGGATGATTAGATCTCCTCTAGATTAGCACTGAAATATTTTTATGTACACATTTTAATTTTCAGATTTTCTACGCATTTTAATTTTCGGATTTTCTTACTTCTCGAAAGCGGTATTTTAATAAGAATAAGAAATTTTGATGCAAATAATATATATGCTTACATGTATAAACATGCGCACGCGCACACGCACGTGCGCGCGCGCACACATGTATGTATGGCTCATGTTCCGTAAGCCTGGCTTGGACTTATGAAAAAATGAAGGCATTTAACTTTATTTGTTTGCCATACATTAGGGTTAATTCTTTTTATTTTAATTGCCTGCGTTGAGCAGGTAATGCGGTGAGGAGAATTCAATAGGACGAGAGAAATCTCTATTGGGTTTTTTTGTGAAGCTGAACTATTGTTGATGCGACCACATGAGTATGATTATAATGGTTTATGCTAATTCTCGACTCAAGTCTTATACTTTCCATGCACTGATCGCTTCAGTTAGATCATTGCGTTGGACGGTCTGCATCGAATGTCAGACATATTAAGCGGATTTTGTCGCAGTCTTCACGACGATAACAATTAAGACTTGTTGCAGGGGTGATTGGTATGCTACCCACTAGAGATCTTGTCGTTAATGGGTAGGGAATCGTCACCAGGGCTTGATCCGCTTCGAGCTAGGAGAAACGGGGTTTATTAAAACTTGAGCGTTGTGGGTTGGTTCTTGTATGATTCACCGATCGAACATTTGTTTGTCGTTTTTAGTTATTTAAATAGTTTTTATTGATCATTATCGATCAATGTAAGTTTTGCGGGTGGAATGGAAACATTGCCAACAGGTCGATTTGAGTCCCTCGAGTGCCAGTCGAATTTTTTCAATCCCTTAAATAAACGTTTCAAATTCCTTGATTTTTCGTTGGACCTAAGATATCATGTACAATTAGTTAAATTTTCACTTAACCATTTTTTTATGAAATCGACAATACAATATAAAAGTAGAAATAATAATACAATGCATTGGTGATCCTTTGTAAGGACATGGTTGATTCAAATGGGGCTATGTTGTCTATTAGATCGTTTCATCCTTTGTAGGACTCTAATTTTAGGATCTTTAAATGTTTTGGTGGCTCGACCTCAGTAATTTGCTAAGAGAATGCATTATTGGGTTGTTGAGGTGCCTTTAGTACTCCCTATTTGATGCTGACCCAACACTATTGAAATGTTGGGAGCTGCCTTATCTTTCTAATGTCGCATGGTCTCTTCGATCATTGAGTGTTGGTCCTTCCTCTCGTAGGGTGCTACTCTCTTGCCTAAGCCAAAGTATCTTTGATGGCATCTAACATTTGATCATTGAACACTTAGTTTTGTTGGGTTATAAATTCTTGATGCACTCTATGTTGACGTTGTCTCTATTGTAGGTTTCTTCTCCTATGGCTACTCTACTTTTTGTTTGTGGGTGATCTATGTTCACCACACTTTTTAGAATATTGAATGATTTGTCTGTGAATCATACCCAATGAATAGAGCATAAAAAGAAAGAGAGGGGAGAGAGAGAGAGAGATGAACAATAAAACATTGTATCAATCATATGTTATTCAAAAAATGACCTCTCCATTTATAGGGGAGAGGATACAATATGATGATTTTATATTTTTATCCATGTTTTAAAGTGGGTTGTACAATGCGTTTTTGGTATTTTACATGGATGAGCGTCCAGTTGCTCTTTGAGTCGGCTGACTAAGCTCAACTTAGTCTGTCTTAGTCACCCGAAATTAGCTCGGCTAAATTGATCAGCTTGATCGACTAAGTTTGGTCAGTGTGAGTTGGTCGGTTGATTTGGTCCGACTGTTGATCCTTGACCCTTGATGATGGGCTTCTAGATGACTTTTAGATGGTTGTAGATGCTAAGGAACCAGCTCTTCCTTTGACCGATTCGTTCTTATATCCATTGATCGTATCAGGTCTGTCTCTTGGTTTAATCAGCTTTAGCTTCACTAGCTTTGGCTCGGACAACTTCTCTCAGTAGGAAAAGTGGCTTCATCATCTTCTATTGGTGGACCCTATTTCACCATACTTTCTTTTGGACCGTTACATTTCAGGATCAACACTTACACATTTTTTATGTACACATACATATGTATAAAAGATTTATTTACTTTTAAAAGCTAAAATAATTTGTTTTGACTGTCTTAGTCACCCGAAATTAGCTCGGCTAAATTGATCAGCTTGATCGACTAAGTTTGGTCAGTGTGAGTTGGTCGGTTGATTTGGTCCGACTGTTGATCCTTGACCCTTGATGATGGGCTTCTAGATGACTTTTAGATGGTTGTAGATGCTAAGGAACCAGCTCTTCCTTTGACCGATTCGTTCTTATATCCATTGATCGTATCAGGTCTGTCTCTTGGTTTAATCAGCTTTAGCTTCACTAGCTTTGGCTCGGACAACTTCTCTCAGTAGGAAAAGTGGCTTCATCATCTTCTATTGGTGGACCCTATTTCACCATACTTTCTTTTGGACCGTTACATTTCAGGATCAACACTTACACATTTTTTATGTACACATACATATGTATAAAAGATTTATTTACTTTTAAAAGCTAAAATAATTTGTTTTGACTGTCTTAGTCACCCGAAATTAGCTCGGCTAAATTGATCAGCTTGATCGACTAAGTTTGGTCAGTGTGAGTTGGTCGGTTGATTTGGTCCGACTGTTGATCCTTGACCCTTGATGATGGGCTTCTAGATGACTTTTAGATGGTTGTAGATGCTAAGGAACCAGCTCTTCCTTTGACCGATTCGTTCTTATATCCATTGATCGTATCAGGTCTGTCTCTTGGTTTAATCAGCTTTAGCTTCACTAGCTTTGGCTCGGACAACTTCTCTCAGTAGGAAAAGTGGCTTCATCATCTTCTATTGGTGGACCCTATTTCACCATACTTTCTTTTGGACCGTTACATTTCAGGATCAATACTTACACATTTTTTATGTACACATACATATGTATAAAAGATTTATTTACTTTTAAAAGCTAAAATAATTTGTTTTGATGTGATATGAAATATTTGTATAGTATAAATCTAAAAAATAAAGTTTGGATGTTAACTATGTAAATAAGTACAAATTTGGTGGTATGTATGTAAATGCGTACATGCCACCTAATTTTATATATTTAAATATGCAACACCTGATTTTATTTTTTACATTATACCACCCAATTGTTTTGGGTCGCATCAAAACTACTATTTTTTTTTAATTTTAAAAAATGAAATTATTTTTTCATGCATAAATAAATGACATTTTCATAAAATTAAAGTTGAGGTGTTAGACATATAAAGACAAGACAATATTTCATTCGGACACTGCACGTCTCAATTACCAACTATTTTGTGTTACGTCATCATATACATCATCAATAGATGACATGACACCCAGTAATTTATCGTTCGGATTGGAGCGACTAAACATAATATTTTTTTCAGTTCAAACCAACAACTTTAAAAGTGGCGGAACCTTCTAAAATGATAGAAATTAATGTTTCGTCAAACTAATTTTGGGAGGTAATTTCTTTATCATTAAAGAAAATTAAGGGGTCCACCGGAATATATTGAGATTAATTAATATTAAAATTTGTATTCCGGACGATAGTGACAATCAAGTGTTTTAAGTTTCTTGGCGCCCAATTTGTTTTGTCTTCTCTCATGAAAGGCCGTCATAAATGGTCCGTCTGATACAACCCGGACCGCCTGCCCTTCTTCCCCTTCTCCCTGTTCCAAACCTCGAGGCATTATAACCTCCGGGGAAGCAAGGTGAGCTTTCAGCCCTTCACTTGGCTCTAACCCTCTAACCCTCTAACCCTCATCCATGGACCCGAATCGGCCGAACGACACGCTCCCGACGAACTGGCGTTTTGGAGGCGGCCATTTCCCGCCAAACCCTCGAAGCGCTGGCCACCGGCGAGCTCACTCCGATACTTTCCTCCGCCTCCCGGACGACTTGCTTTTTGACTCCGATCCCGATTTCAACATCTCAGACATCGACTTGCCATGTCTCTCCGATGACAATGTTTCGGGAGGAAGTGCTGCTGCGGCTCCGGCAATCCCAGTTGAATACGGTGGCCGATCGGACGCCAGGGCGGCGCATATTGGAGGCAGGCATGTCGGAAATGGGGCTCACTTAAGGAGCTTGTCGGTCGATGAGGGGTACTTTGAGGCGACGGGGTTTCAGGGGGCGGGTTTTACCGGTGGTGTGGCGACCGAGAAGAGGGTGCAGCACCGTCACAGTAGCTCCATGGATGAGGAAACGTCGCCTTTCGAAGAAGAGTCCATGGGGTTTTCGGATTATGCGAAGAAGGGGATGCCGGCGGATAAGCTCTCTGATCTGGCACTGATTGATCCTAAGAGAGCCAAGAGGTACGATCTTTTCTTCTTGTTGTAAAGTTTGTTGGCTTCTTGCTGTATACGATTCCAGGATTTTGGTTAAGTTGATTGCTTTTGACAGACAGAGTACTCTGATTTGTGGAGCTTATCGGCCGGTTTTTTTTTTATTTTTTATCCTGCAACAATTGAAAAGTTGAAATAGCGAATTACATCAAACTGTTTTTTTTGGCTTGCTCAACAATTGAAAATTGACGACAAAATTTGAAATGGTAGCAAAAGAGGAAGTAAGATGGTGAAATTCTACTTGATTTTGTCGAATGGAAAAAAAAATAAAGCACAAATTATTACTCCCCTTCAAGTAAATTAATGATTTTCATCCATTCTAAATCTTGAATAATGATAGTCGATGGGTGTAATTGATAATGGGAATAATAAGTCTTAGTAGACTATTGATAAAAAGTCAGTGCTTAATGTGTTCTTATGCATGTTTTCCCTGCTGTAAATACTTTTGAAATATTAGGGTATCAGGTCAAATGAAATTATTCTATTTGTAGTGATTCTCAATCTCAATCCTCCACTTTTTGGAGTTAATAGGGTTTTGAATAACGATTATCCTTAAAACCTTCCAGGGTTATACCATCATTTCACAAGAATAATGTTAGTGTTTGCTTTTATGCCCTTTAAAGATTAGTGTCATATAAGTGAATATAAAAATTTATACGTTAGATTTATAAATAGATAATAATTCAATGATGTGTAGGTAAACCTCGGAAAAATTTGGGGAATGAAAAGGTAGATTGGGATGAAAATATAATTGAAAATATCCTAAAAAAAAGAGAAAAAGTGAGAAAGAAGACAACATATAATAGGCTGTTGGAAGGAACCGAAATATAAAACTACTAATGGACATAGAAGGATGAGGAAAATATCTTGAAAGCACATCTCTCATGCAATCGCCCGGGGAGATCAACTTCGCAACCGGGAGGGTAGAGGTGAGAAGCACATAAAAAAGTAGCGTTGGAAGAGGACGAGTGAGATAACATCGACCTTTGTTTAAAGCACTGCCTGACCAACTTTTCAAAAGCGAGCTGACCGTCAGCGAAAGCAAGCATCGCGTCCTCTTCACAACAAAGGCAACGTGAGATGTTAGAAACGGTGGAGTCTGGTCCACTATGCTTGGGCGGTTACTTTGCTTTGGAGAGTCACACCTCTTCACAAATAACCACTCCCGCCTTCCTCTTTTATGAAGTGAATCATCTCTTCGCTTCCTTCTATTTGTGATAAAATACTTCGAATGACTCTCTCAGAAATAGTAGTAGTTACGGTTTTCTTCTTTGGGCTTCCTCGAGATAGAAAAAAGATAAGTGCAAGAGGTAGTTCCTTGCGGTGAAGGAAGAGGAAAGAAGAAGAAGAATTGTTCTCCCTTGGCTTTTTCTTGGTAGCTTGTGGCTGAAGAAAAATTATGTTTATTTCTCTTGTAAGTTTATCTTCTTCGGTGTATCTCGGTGTAGAGTTTTTTCGGTGTATCTCGGTATAGAGAGAGAAGAAAAGAGAGCAACGAAGTGAGAGTGAGGGATTCCTCTTGTAAGTTGAGGTGATCGACTTATGTAAAATCCTCAAGTAGTAAAATCCTCTGCAACTCCGTGGACGTAAGCAATTTGCCGAACTACGTAAATCTGTGTGTTTCGCTGTGTTGTTCTTTTATCGTGTGATTTTTCTCGTTCTATTTTTCACTTCGTTGAATATATATATATACCACATCAACTGGTATATTTAGATCTCGCAACAACAACAACTGGTATCGGAACGTGGTTTCGGATCTGAGGAAGAATGATAGCTGCAGATGAAGTGAAAGTTTCAGAGATCGAGAAGTTTGATGGCACACATTTTGGTTATTGGAGAATGCAGATAGATGATTATATTTATGGGAAGAAACTGTATCTTTCGTTATTAGGGAAAAGACCTGAAAGGATGGATGAGACTGAATAGAATTTGTTAGATCGACAAGTTCTGGGGGTTATTCAATTGACCCTATCGAGATTCGTTGCAGACATCGTCATCAAGGAAAGGACGACTGCATATCTCATGATAGTCTTATTAGGTTGTATGAAAAGCTATTGGCGAATAACAAGAGGCACTTAATAAAGAAGTTATTCAATTTAAAGATGGTGGAAGTTGTTACTGTTGCTCAATACTTAAATGTTTTCAATACTATCACAAATCAATTGTCGTATGTGAAAATTGATTTTGATGAGATATGTGCACTGATCTTGTTGGTTTTATTGTCAGATAGTTGGGAAGTCATGAGGATATATGAGGATAGCAGTTAGCAGTTATGCAGGTAAATCTAAACTGAAATACGAATACGATAATATTCATGATTTGATTTTGGCTGAGGAAGTTCGCAGGAAAGATTTTGACAAGGTCTCAGGTTCGAGTTCGGCACTGAATGTTGATTTTAAAGGGATATGACATGACAGGTACTTAAGTATAGGGAGTTTTCAGTATAGGGAGATGACATGAAAGGGAGATGGAGATGACACTGAATGTTTTCAATACTATCAAAAATCAATTGTTGTTTGTGGAAATTGATTTTGATGAGATATGTGCACTGATTTTGTTGGTTTCATTGTCAGATAGTTGGGAAATCATGAGGATAGCTGTTAGCATTTCTGCAGGTAAATTTAAACTGAAATACGATAATATTCGTGATTTGATTTTGGCTGAGGAAGTTTGCAGGAAAGATTTTGGCGATGTCTCAGGTTCAAGTTCGACACTGAATGTTGATTTCAAAGAGAGATGACATGACAGGAACTCAAGTATAGGGAGATCAAAATCAAAGTTTAGTAAGCAGAAAGAAAATAAAAGTTTAGTAAGCAGACAACCTGTTGGAATTGTGGCAAGTCTGGCCACATAAAGAAGAACTGCAGGAATCCTACGAAAATGGAGAATGATAGCACAAATATGGTATCTGAAGAATCACAGGATGCACTATTGTTGACAGTTCATAGTTCTGTTGAAGATTTGATGTTGGATTCAGGTGTTTTGAATGTGGTAGGAAATCTACCAGAGTCCACAGTGTAGGGCAGTGATGGAAGTGAAGAGGAAAGTGGGTCTGGGGCATCCATTCCTATTGTTTTACAGACAGATGTTGAAGAACCACAGAGTTATGAAAAAATCTTGCAAGATAAAAGTTTGAGCAAGTGGGAGCTGACAGAACTTCTATCTGGGAAGAAGGTATTGCACAATAAGTGGGTATACCAGGTGAAGACTGAGTGTGATGTCAGTAAGAGGTACAAGGATAGACTTGTTGAAAAAGACTTTGAGCAGAGACAGGATGTTGCCCATGTAGCAGGAGTTGTAAGAAGAGACAAGAGTGACCCAGGAAATAGCTTGGAGGTGTAAAGCTATGTGGAGCCTGTTGATATGTTAACTGAGGGTATTACTCTTGAGAAACTGAAGTTGTGCACAGCTTCAGTTGGTCTTCTGGAGTGAAGACAGAGGCTTTGAGTTGCAGAGGTGGAGGATTCAAGGTGGAGGATACATGTTGAAGAAAAAGCCAACACCGTCAGTAGAGGATATCAGTTTGAGGAAGGAGATGTTGCAGTTTATGTACCGGTCTCTAAGTTGGAGAATTGTTAGAAACTGTAGAGCCCGGTCCACTATGCTTGGGCGGTTACTTTGCTTTGGAGAGTCATTCCAAATAACCACTCTCGCCTTCCTCTTTTGTGAAGTGAAGCATCTCTTCGTTTCCTCTTGTTCGTGATAAAAGACTTCGAATGACTCTCCCATAAATAGTAGTAGTCACCGTTTGAGTTCTTCTTCGGTTTTCTCGGGATAAAGGAAAGTTGAAGAGAAGTGCAAGAGAGAAGTGCAAGAGGTAGTTCCTTGTGGTGAAGGAAGAAGAAAGAAGAAGAAGAAGATTGTTTTCCCTTGGCTTTTTCTTGGTGGTTTGTGACTGAAGAAAAATTATGTTTATTTCTCTTGTAAGTTTATCTTCTTTTGTAAGTTTATTATTTCTCTTGTAAGTTTATCTTCTTCGGTGTATCTTAGTGTAGAGTTTCTTCGGTGTATCTCGGTGTAGAGAGAGAAGGAAAGAGATATGAGAAGAGAGAACAACGAAGTGAGAGTGAGAGATTCCTCTTGTAAGTCGAGGTGCTCGACTGGTGTAAAATTCTCAAGTAGTAAAATCCTCTGCAACTCCGTGGACGTAGACAATTTGTCGAACCACGTAAATATGTGTGTTCCGCTGTGTTGTTCTTTTGTGGTGTGATTTTTCTCGTTTTATTTTTTACTTCATCGATATATATATATATATATATATATCATATCAGCTGGTATATCTAGATCTCGCAACAACAACAGGAGAGACTGAATTCTGCGTTCCTATGCGTCAGTTGCACGATTGCTTATCAGCTTCGAGTAGCTAGTTGGCTATTACATTTGGTCCCCGCCAACCGCTCACGCGACACACATGAGCATTTGTGGGAGAGGGGAAGACATGGACAGGTGCGTCATGTTAAAGAAAGGCGAGTGGTAGAGGGAGATGAAGAACATGGGGAACATTGCGGTTGTAGAAATGGGTAAGTTGGGTGGAAAGTATTTCACAACAACAACAACAACAACAACAAAGCCTTAATCCCACTACGTGGAGAGTATTTCACCTTTCACCTAAATCCCTTTGCACCTAAATCTATTAAATCCACCGAATGACTGGATTTAATAAATCCTGGATTTACTATAAATGGAAGACAAAATAGGATTTAAGTGGGAGTTGGATTTATGTTTGTGAATTTTACTGTTTGGCTGGATTTACTGAAAATCTGGTATGAATTCTATTTAAATGCTCTAACAAACAGCCCCCAAGATTTTTTTTGTTTTTGTTCTAATTTTGTTACAATGCAACTCATCCACTGAACATATTGTACAGTAGGAAAAGAATAAGGAGGATGATTACCATATGAACTTGAATGAGAATGAAACTAATAATTTATCCGTTAATGAAGTTATATTTTCTCGTTATTCTCGGAAAATTTCAGCTCTATTGTTCTTTTTTCTTTTGTTGTAGGATACTTGCGAACAGACAATCTGCAGCTAGATCCAAAGAAAGAAAAATCCGCTACACTAATGAACTTGAGTGTAAGGTGCAGACACTTCAATCCGAAGCTACTACGCTCTCAGCACAGGTTACCCTACTTCAGGTGGGGCTAATTCGAAATAATATGTTTTGAGTTCAAATTAACTTTCCTATGTGCATCTATTAAGGAAGATTTACATGCTTACCACTCAATTCTTATTTATTTACATATCTATCTCCTAAGCTTCAATTTTTACATATCTGCCACTTTATTGGGCATGAAATGGTGTATGTCACTTTTAAAAAGTTAAAATAGTGATACTTTTGATGTGATATGAAAGATTTGGGTGGCATATATGTAAATAGCAATGTTTAGGTGCTAGATATGTAAATGCATAAGACTTGGGTGGTATGTATGTAAATGCCGCGAAATGCTATGTTTTCAGAATCCAACGGCTGAAATTTCTCTTAGTTCTCACTTCAAAGTGGACACTCCACATAAATAAGTGAAAACATGTAATTACACATGATTCATCGGCATCTTGTGATCATTTTATCTATTTTAGATGTCATCAAAGATAATTGGGTATAATTACTATTAATATTTGCTTGAGTAGCACAGTGTTCCCTATGAAATGGAAATAGGTTATGAAAAATACGTATGATATTCAAACCATGGTAAAAACATACAACCTTTTCTCATTTATTTTTATTATTTTGTGAGTTCTATGTTGATTGTTGTTCGAGTTCCAAAATATTTGATGAATTTTTTATTGTAGAAAACAGGTTTAGAGAGGAATAATTCATTGATTTCATTATTCACATGCAAGATACATATGTATAGGGAAAACAATCCCTTTTAATTTACAAACTTAACTTATATATCTAACCTAAATTAGGAAAGGAAATAATTTTGAAAAAAAAATAAAATATCATAAAATAGGAAAGGAATAAAATGATCAAGGATCTTCTAAGTGGTCCCAATCAAATCTCTGAGGATTTGGAAGTGGCCTCCAGCCCAAACGAGAAAGATAGAGAGAGGGAGAGGGAGAGAGGGAGAGGGAGAGAGAGAGAGAGAGAGATATTCTCAAATTTTCACACTCCCCCTCAAGCTGGATCGTAGATATTGTAGAGATCAGACTTAGTATTGAATTCTAAGAAGGAATAGTTTTGGTGAAAAGTTCAATAATTTGTTGGTGTGTTCGATTTTAACTTAGTTGTATAATTCTCCTGTTAACCTTTTCAGAGATGAAGTGTCTATCAACTTCAATATGTTTGGTTCTGTCATGATGTATAAGTTTTTTTGGCAATATTGATAGTTGCTTGACTATTACAAAACATATTTATAGGTATATTGGAGGTACATCTCGATTCCTTTAACAATTCGAATCCAAATCTCTTCACGAATTTCCAAGGCGAGTGTCATATACTTTGATTCTGCGCTACTTCTAAAAATAACCACTTGCTTCTTACTTCTCCATGACACTAGATTTCCCCATACATAGGAGCAGTAACCCGTGGTGGACCTTTGTCAGTAAGCTCCCCAACCCAACTAGCTCGAGTATTTTGATTCTTCTCGGATTTCTCAAAAATTAATCTATAACTCTAAGTCTTCTTAAGAAATTTCATAATTTGTACACCATCTTCAAATGCTCTTCATTTGGGTTGTTCACTTGCTGTCTCACTATACTGACAGACTATGCAATATTCACCCTCATAAGTGACATGTAGATGAGTTTTTTTTACCAATCTTTGATATCTTCCTTTATCCACAAAGATTTTTCTTCTCTCATCTTTGACTTCTGGTTTGGATCCATTAGAATACTAGCAGGCTTACATCTAATCATCAATGTCTCTTTTAGTACATATAGAATTCTATATTAAAGAAATGTCAGCACAAATCTCAAAGCGATCGAGCAGTTAGAAATTGGGGAATACCCGTGGGGTCCCAGACAACAAAACATAAAATCTATCAGAAAAGTCATTGATTGATTCAATGACGCAACCGACCGACATGACAGGGCAACTGGCAGGAATCCTTCGTCTAGTGAAGTCAGTTGACCTACGAGCCTACCAACAGAGAGGCCTCAGCTTGATCAAGCGATTGAATCTTTAAAGAGAATACAGTCGGCCATTACGACCGACCGACACACGCATGCAGCGAACGATCAACATAACCTGTTGATCCCAAAGCATTGGCCGACCGACCAAACGGCGACTCTCATTATTAGCATCATGTAATTTAAATAAGAATCACTTAGACGGTTATATATATTGCCATTTTCATACGTGTACTTGTATTCTAAGACCTCTATAAATAGGAGGTTCTAATATCAATAAAGAGGCTTTTAAACTCTCAGACCTGAGGATTCTAGTGCTTTGGGATCCTCACGCTTGTGTGTTCTGACATTTGAATATTCTCTTGCATTCATTAGCTCTCTCTATAACTCTCTTATTTCTTCTTTGCTCTAACTCTCGGGGCATTTTCACAAGAGGACAATCTTGGATTCAATATCTTAAAAGGTGATGTTGTAATCGTGGGCATGCCGCAAACGAGAAGTTGAGCCAATTACAAAGGATAATCTCAACAGAGAGATCCAGCGGAGATGGAATTCAATAGAGAATCTGTGAATCAAGAAATCCAGTGATAGCTTCAAGAATTGCAGTATCAGTTGATGGGCCAATTCGAGGCCCTTTGATAAGCGATCTTGCAAAGGAACGATCAACATGCACTCCTGAGGGTTGAATCTTGGGGAACTCGTCCTCAAAAGGTTCACCCGGAACACCTTCCAGCAACGGTCGGACGTGTCGACAACCAAGCGGTTGAGGGAGCATGAGACTCCCAACAACCAGCTAGTACTAGATCTACAACAATGATTAGGCATCGGGTGGATTGCATTGAGGCGCCCTTTCAGCATGCTACTAAAAGCGCTTTCACTCAACAGATTCTAGAGGCAGTACCGTCGGTGAAGATGCAAATTCTGCATCTGGACTCCTACATGGGTACAAGTATTTGATAGACCACCTGGCGTCTTTCAAATCATCGGTCAGCATCCTGCAGATCGGCGATGCCATGAAGTGTCGTCTCTTCTTGACGACACTTAAGGAATCAACTCTTCGCTGATTCCACGCTCTGTCAGACGGATTCATTCTGACCTATACTGAATTCAAGAAGTTTTTTCTGCCGCATTTTGCTAACATTCAGAAGCCGATGAAGAAAACATAGTCTAATATTGATCAAGCAAAGGGAGAATGAGAGAGCCTACGATCATACATCTCTCATTTTCAGAAGGAGATATTATAAGTACAGGACTTCCGGTCATTTGATAGCCCGGACCGCTCTAGCACAAGGGGTTAGAGACGGGTGCTTCAAGTATGATTTGAATATGCTTGAACCGAAGTCTCTTTCCGAGATGCTCGAAATGGCGAATGGCCATATCACCGGTGAAGAATCCTTCACGAACTCCTCCCTGATTGGTTTAGCATTGACCGACCTGCAGTTGAAGGGAAAGGCTGAAGATGAAGGACAGAGTCCGAAGGGTGATCAGAACCCCTCTGATCATCAAAGTCGTTACAAAGTCCAATGATCGTGGGAAAACTGAGGCAATTTGGCCAAAATTGGAGTTCAAATGAACGACAACCTCGGTATTTTGAGCGATCACACAAGCACTGAGAGATGCAGAGTTTGAATTAACTAAATGTTTCAATGGTTGAATTAGTGCCAACCATTCAAAATAAAGACGGGATGAAGACCGAACCTACGCTCCGGAACCCAAACAAATATTTTGACTACCATCGATACCATGGGCATGACACAGAGGAATGACGTCACCTCCGAAACTTGGCCGAAGAATTGATTAAAGTAGAGAAAATGAAGGAATTTGTCATCGGCGGCGGAGAGACGTGGCGAAAGGGAAAGACCCCTGCTGAGGAATCATCTGACAGACCAATCAGGGCGAGCGAGGTTCATGTGGCGTGAATCATTTCGGCCATGTTCAAATGAGGCAGAGGAATATTCCGACGATCCGGTGAGAAGAGGCATATTTCAGGTGATGTATGTTCTATTGCTTCTTACAAGCATAACCACCCGCCTATTATCTTTACGGTTGCAAACCTCCCACCAAAGGGAAATCCTTATAAAGATGTGATATTCGTTACGACACTGATCAACAACTACTTGGTGGGTATCATCATGGTCGACACCGAAAGCTCAACGAACATTCTTTTCAAGATGTTGTTCGATAAGATTGACCTGAAAACTGACCGGTTGGCAACACTTGCCGACCCACTGTTGGGCTTCTCCGGTAAGAGAAAAGATGCTCTGGGTGTCATCGCACTAGCCCTCTCATAGGGGGAACGCGAAAGGTAGTACACTATACAGAGGACTTTCTGGCGGTTGAATCGTCTCCATCATACAACATCATATTCTCTCGGCGACTCTTGAAGAACTATCAAGCAGTGATTTCAACCTACCACGTGGCTGTGGAGTTTCTTGGTGAAAGAGAAATTATAATCGTTTGAGAGAACTTAGAGTAGTCAAGGAGTTGTTATCTTTGGGTGATCACCATTGTGAGTCATGCCCCGTTCTATATTCAAGTATAAAGGGAAGGGGTTCTTAAGACCAGTGAGACCATCCTTGAAGCACCTATTATCGACAATGAAGAATACAGTAAAATTTTTCTAATAAATGAAAGTTTTGATGCAGGACATAGAAATTTGCTGATGCAGACTGTTCGCGAGCATCGGGACATTTTCGCTTGCGCTTCCACAGAGATGCCATGGATCCTGATCAACGTAGCTTGTCGTTGACTAAATATCAGCCCAACCGCTTGGTCAATCCAACAGAAGATGAGTTTGACAGCCAGAACTCTAACTGAGCCCATATCAGCGGAAGTAAAGAAGTTAAAGGAGGTTGGTTACATCCGAGAGGTCCAGTAAGCAACTTGGCTCTTGAATATTGTGTTGGTTCAAAATCTCAACGGAAAATGGAGAACGTGCGTCGATTTCACCAACTTCAATGTTGCGTATTCAAATGACACATACCCGCTGCCAAAGATTGATATGTTGTTGGATGCTACGGTTGGTTACTCTGTAATAAATTTTCTTGAAGTTTTTATAAAGATG